TATATATATATATAAACATGCCTTATAGGATATATATATTGAGGCCTATAAAGGCAAATTTGTGTCCCCAAATGCCCTTCGTTGTGGCTTCATACACTGGAGCCTGGTCAATCTACCAAGAGTCACACCTTTAAATGAAACCGACTCTCCCTCTTCCAGCAACCATCAGTTGCCAATAGTTCTCAGGTAGTGATGAGGGTTCTTACTCACTTCCCAAGGTCTATGCTGGGATTTTGTCTGGTGTGAGCTTACTTGAACTTACTTTTTTTTTTTTTTTTCGTCTTTTTGAGGCAGGGTCTCCCTGTAGCCCCAGCTGACATGGCACTCACTATGTAGACCAGGCTGTTCTTGAACTCACAGAGATCCGCCTACCTCTGCCTCCCAAGTGCTGGGATTAAAGGCATGCACCACCACGCCCGGCTTGAATTTACACTTTTTTAATCTGGAAAATTATTTCATATTAAAAATGTTGAGGAAGGAAGCCAGACATGGTGGCCTGTGCCTTTAATCCCTGCACTGGGAAACAGAGGCAGGCAGATATCTGTGAGATCAAGGTCAGCATGGTCTACATAGTAAGTTCCAGGCCAGGGAGACCCCCACCAAAAAACAAAAAAACCCAAAACAACAGCAACAAAAAATAACTGTTATGGGAGAGAGAGAGAGAGAGAGAGAGAGAGAGAGAGAGAGAGAGAGAGAAAGTTCAATCAGGTAGAATCTCTAATACACTTCAAAAGGACCAGAAACCATGGATTCAGTCCTATTCTAGGCTTTATAGATGGGAAGACTGATGGTTGGGGTGGGGGATTCAGCCCAAGGTCAAAGAAGCACTAGCGGACAAGTGTACTTGAGGACCCAAGCCTCCCACTAGTCTTCACCCCTAGCCTGTTCCTTTTTTCCTTGAGTACAGAATGTTTGGCCTTGCTCTCCCAGTGGCTTCTTTTCTAGAGCTACTGCAGGGGAAGTATGTTCTGCAGAGATACTTCAGAATGGCTGTCACTTACCCTTAGGGCAGGCTGGTGTGTTGCAGAACTCCGAGGTATACTTCCCTGCCTTAAAGACATAGCACCAGGGCTTCAAGTCTCGGTCTGGATTTCTGAAAAAGACCAACCAGGGAGGACCAGAGAGAGTTGGACAGCGACCCTCCTAGTCCCCAGGACTGAGCACATGCTCTGGGAGCAGGGTTAATGCATCTTGGGTTGGACACCGGAATGTTATACCGTGTTAGGTAGAAACATGACTTAGTTATGCTCTTAATTTGGAGATCAAGCTTGGTTTAAGGAAATTCCCAAGAGTGTTAAGTTGACAAGAGATGGCTATGGGCTATATCTCCAGGCACACAATCACAATCATTGATCCAGGCACTGTTGTAAAGGTATTTTGTAGCTATAGTTAACATCCACTGTTAGTTGACTTTAAATAAATATCCCAGATAAAGAGAGTGCATTTTGTCCAATCACTTTAAGGTCCAAGAGCCCCAGCTGACCTGCCCTGCAATTGCATATTCAGCTGCCTCCACAGGAATGTGAACTGGTTCCTTCCAATTAACCTCTGTCTACCATCTATCTATTTGTCTGTCTGTCTACCTATTTATCTATCTACTTAATCTTCTATCATCTATCTATCTATCTATCATCTATCTGTCTACCTACCTATCATCTATCTATCTATCATCTATCTATATCATCTGTTTACCATCTGTATATGCATGTATCTTTCCCTATCATCTATCTATAAATGTATTTATGTATGCATATATGTATGTATATATCATCTATATGCATATATGTATGTATGTACATATGTATGTACCTAGCTAGCTAACTACATACCTGCCTACCTGGTGTCAGTTCTTCTGACTGATTGGTCCAGGTGTCCTTTGGCTATAATACTTCTTACCCAAGACCCCTTTGTGGAAAATGCTTCTTTCTTACCTACAGTAGTTGTGATTCCCAAGGCCCAGCTTGACGGCATCCGGCCTCCGCCCACTGAAGGGCTTCAGGGACAGCACGCTGCTGTTCCAGTTGATGCACTCAGCCCCGTTTTCTGCTGTGCTCCATGTGCCCCTGTAGGTGATGCCTTGGTCCTCAAAGCATGTTGCACCAGTATCTGATTGATAGCAGGACATGTAACCCCTCATATGCAAGCCTCTTCTGTTCAAAGGGCTCTCAAGTGAACCTCTGCCTTGTCTCAGCCCAACGGCGCAGGCTGGCTGCTGAGGCTGCTGGGGCCCAGAGTGAGCTGGGTGGTCTGGATCACCCATAAGACTGTAGCCAAGCCAGACTCTGCCTTGCCCCAACCTCAGCACACATCTCCTTCCCTTTCTTGGTCCACTTGAGAGGTAGGATTTCAGAACATCTCTCCCACCCACCCACCCACCAAAGTACTCACCTATATCACAGCGTTTCCCGA